GGGTGCCGGGCTTCCCTGGCGCGGGGCGGGCACGCAGCCCTCGCCCGCTTCCCGGGAGCCCCGCAAGGCTGAGCTCTGTGCAGTCACCCGGGCTCGCACGACGGCACTTCCACATCCTGCAGGCATCACCGAAAACATCTGAGATCACCCATCCTCCGAGCCCACCTCTCACCGTCTTCCAGGTACAATACCTTCGGTTGGAAAAAAACCATTGCAGGCATAAAACAGATGAACCAGGGACTGAAGGAAGGGAAAATGAGAAACGAAGGACTAACTTTTTAGGCTAAGGAAAACATGTGTATGTTCCCGGTTTCACATCAGAAGTGAAAGAGGTTTTTTCTGCCTTATTATTCTCCTTTGAAGTAATTTTTAATATAATGTGTGACTGAGACTAGTATTCTGCTCTGCAGCTGAACTGAAATAAGGTTTCAATTTCTAAGTTTCTGATCACACCAAGATGTATTTTTCCATTAGAAGCTTACGGACACGGAATTAAGAGAGGTTTTTTTGTTCGAGACTACAGTAGAATTACACTTACGACCTTTCCAGTAAGCCTCTGGGGAGCCCAAGACACTTCGAATGTTCGAAAAAGTTGGAACTAGTTTTTTTAATGACAAGTTTGATTTTAGCAGAGGGGCTCCTGCCCTAGCAGAGAGTCTGCTCCAGAAGGAGAAAACCATACCGGTACCCGCGGCGGTGTGAGGTCTCAGCAGCGTGGGCTCAAGAGAATCTGGGCATACTGGGACACTTGTCACTCCCCCATATACACACCGGACCCCCAGCTTTTGATGCCTCTCGCATTTTACTCCGAGACCTATTGGTCACAGCTGACTTTCAGCCCTTACACATTTTCTATCAGAACGATGCCCTTGCGTTTTGAAGCACCTGCAGACGACAGACTGCTCCTGGCGTCCAGCAAACAGACGCACCAGGCCAGCGGCTATTTGATCCGAACGGGTGTGGAGGAACTCCCCTCCTTGACCTGCTTCTTAAGAAGTCCGAGATTTAAAGGCCGCAGAGACCCACACCCACACCCGCACCGTAATTCGCTGTAGTAGCTCTTAACAGAAGAGCACAAAGTATCTGGCAGAGTGCCGATAGCAAAACATTATCAGTAGGAATAAGAACAGATTGATGCGCCGTCCCCACACGCTGAACTGCGCACAGAAGTTGTAGTTTTAACATCTAAACTAAAAAGGAGACTAACAAGCAAAACCTTGAATCTCCTGCTTGTGAGCTGTCCCACATCTCTTCATAATAAAAGTGAGAATGTCATGTAAATGGTCAAAATAAACTGTCTGAAAACAGTACGTGCCAAATATAGTTAAGTTTTATTTTTTTATTGTCTGACAACACTGTGGTAATATAAACTATCTAAAGCATGATAAAACACTTCCATAAAACAGAGTAGGTACATATTATAAAATAAAAAATACAAATATTATGTTAACAAAAGGAAAAAAAACATTAAAAAGAAAATATTACAATAAAATAATGCTACCAGTTTCTTCCTGTATTCCAAAATTTATTGAAAATGTTTAAATTATGCAGCACTAAGATAAGTTACTTTTATTTTCTCTCCTGATTTTAAACATGCACTAACTCAAACAGAAATAAAACCTATAAATCAATACAGAAAATTTTATTAATCGCACAACACTGCATGTAGATTTAAGGAGGGATGATGCAGTGGCTGTTAAAAGAAATGCATTATAATTACTTCCTTTCCCATGGGCTTACAGATTTTAGCAATTAAAAATAGCTCAATAATTCACAATAAAAGGAACAGCCACTGAATTAGCAATAAACTCTGATAAACGAGCAGTTATTGTAGAAATTGTTTGTCAGACAACCATCAAACAAAAGATCAGCCGCGCTTCAGATAGTCTGTGCACAGAGTGATGGCATTCACCGCGACCAAGACCCTCGCATTTGCTAGGATCCCTTCACCCTGTCAGAAGGACAGAGGGCGAAGTCGGAACCCTGTTAACGTCAGCAGAAATCCTGAGACCAAAATTCCACTTAGCTCTTGAAGAAAAACACACGCGCCTTCTGACCACGGCGCTGCAAATAATCCTACTTAAAACGTGTTTTGTTTCCACCACGATGATGTTCCTAGTGAAAGGAGTGCTTTTCTTCTCCGTCTGCTGTGGAGTGCCGGAGAAGCAACCCGCAGGGCAGCTGGGGGTGTGTTTTCCCCCCCTCACCTCCACAAAACCTCTGTGTTCTTTTGCATTAACTCTCAGAGACAGCAATCTCGCCTTGAACTGAACTACTCAGCCCCTACTACCTTCTTCAAGCTCCAGAAAAAAGCAGCTAAGGAATAACTGCCGGGACTGCCAGGCACATCTGCTGAGAGTTAATCCCACAAGCTTCAAAAAAACGAAACAAGCCAGCCAAGCGCCCCAAAAACGCGTGACTCCCGGATCCTGCACGCAGCACAAGGCCATCGGAGACCCCCGCAGTTCCTTTTGCTCTTTCCCGTGTTACACACTTGCCGATTACATCATTTCAAAGGAGGCTGGAAGTTTTCAGAGGGGCGACTGCATTTTTCTATGCATTTGGAGAGTTATCTCAACACTTGTTGAGACGGTACTAAAACAATCTATGTCTATGCAGGGTCTTTCATTATTCAACATAGTAAAAATATATTTTTAAAAATAGCCCTTAACACATGAACTACTTCACATTCTTACTGAGGAACGTTTTATCTATCCCCAGTAAACATTGCCACTATCCCTTTGCAGAAATGTGATGCTTTTTAATCATGATCAAATGCAAAATCACTTAATTTATCTATAAACATTTTGGTCAGAAATACACAAACTAACAATAATTTAACACACAGGTGCTACTAACTCAAGCATTCAAGCAATGGAATTTTGTGGAACAAAAGAGAAAAAGAAAATATAAGAGGCTGGATTTTCTGCTGAGTGGATACATATATTCTTAAACAGTAGTAAAGCGGACTTCAATTTTTGTGAAAATACTTGTGATTAAAAGATTCAAGAGCAGATCCTTCTTAGCATCTGTTACAAAAGGTCTACTAGCATTAATAATACTTATAATATCAAAGATGTATTAACCCCATTTCTTTGATACCCATTTGTTATCAAAGGTTTGTTGGTTTTTTTAAGAGATGCCACTCGTGCAAGAAAAGTGAAATTTGAAACACAGCTCGATGATGGAGTTTTGGTAAGGCCAATGTAGCCAGTGGTTATTAGTCTTCCAGTCTAAGAAACCAACCTTAACAGAGCTAGTAAGCAGCCAACCAACTTAATATACTAGGGAGCTGCTGTTGCCTAGTAGGAGTCAGCAATTACTGACTTTTCAAAGCAAAGTCAGAGGAAATCTTCTCATTGATACAAAGCCGCGTGGAATCTGGGCCCAAGCCCAGGTATACATATTGTCTCTGTTATTAAAGTTTTATTCTGTTGTGTTTCTAATTCCATCTTACATTTCAAGATATGCCCAGTTTACATCAACTAAAAATCAGACAATTGCCCCACTATGAGAAACCAGTATTTACAGTTTTGTAAGAAAAAAAAAAAAGACACTGAACCCAATGACCATAGTCAAAACAAAATAAATCCATAGTTCTTAAAATAAGGATATCAGCATACTGAAATGTTTTCAATGTTTTTAGTTTAAAAAAAAGAAGTACAAAATTATATTGAAACTTGAAAATTCACAAGAAAATGTTTTCAGGAGTTTTGCACACCCCTGTTCAGGAGCAGTGATGCTCTGACAATGTCTTTTTGACTCCAGTTATAAAGACAGAACCAGCTTCTTGAAGGAGTGGGACCTACGACACATCCTCTATGTGTGGTTGTTGTTAAGATTGTTCTTATTAAAGAATCTCCTTGCTTCAACGCTGCTAAGAGACACGGAGCAGCGAGATGGATTCTCTTTTCTGTATTCAATGCTTTCCATCATAGCTTGCTTGATCACCTGGAAAACAGTGAACAGTGTGTCATTCAGGGAAATAACTAACATTTTAATGATTTATTATCTGATAGAAAGGACCCCTTCAGATGTTAACAACTGTTGCTCCTGCTTTTATCACTGCTCCGTCATTGAACAAAGCGATTGCTGAGTATTATTATGAATGTTATTTTCTTGATCATATAAAACAATGATTTTCATGTAGTTAATATATAAAGATAGGACAGAATACCACCAATGTCAAAGAAGTCACACAAGAATATACACCATTTAAACCGAGTCCCAATGCAATTCTGAAAGGTAAATCAAACATTGAGAAAATCCATACTTAAAGGACATTGATAATAATTATTATCTTGAGAAAGATTAAATCTTCACTTTTGCTTCCTTTGTACTGAAGTAACAAGATTTGTTCACTATATTGAAATAAAAAAAACATTTCTTTATCTGGGATGATCATTTACGCTTGTGAATATGGCAAGTCATTCTATGGATGCTGGGATCATGGGCCTGTGTTACAGCTAGTATCAATTAAAAATAATGATTACTGAGTTAGTTGATAAAGACATTTCCAGAGATCTTTACAAAAATTTTCCATTTTCCTTTTTTCCCAGTTAGAAAATCAGCACACATAAAGAACTGAGTATAAAATCCTGAACATAATGTCTACATCCTGTGCAGCCACCTTTGCGCAGTTACCCTGCGGACTTTCAATGGTAAAATGACAAAAAACCCACAGGAACCAAATTAAAAAGAATATGAACTTACCTCGGGTATATACTCCAGCCCTCACTAAAATAAAGCAGATTTTATCCACTAACTATAATGGGCTTTGATCCAGCCAACTTTGAGAAGAGCAAGGGGCACAACGAAATGCAGGAAGCGCTTTGTACGTCGTAACAACCAGGCAAACACAGAAGGAACCCCCTGTACCTTCTGTATGGCAGATTTAGGGCTTTACTCACATCATCTACTTTCCCCTTTAAAAATCCAGACCCCTTAAACCCCTTCAACACTGGCATACATACATCTATGTTATTGAGGGTGTTGAACTCCATAAGATCATGAAGCCTCTTGAAAGCTTCATTGGGATACTGGAAGTTGAAGGTAGAGAACGGTGTGTTCGGATCATCAAAAATGTCAAAGTCTGCAAAATCCTTCTCTTCTTGTGTTTCTCTTGGAACGCCTGCATACAGAACAAATACAAAAGTACAATCTACATGTTAGGTCTGAGAACTTACCATTTTTTAATGGCTCTTTTGAAATCCCTAACTACTACAGATAGACTTACGATTTATCTCAGAGACAAAACATTTCTAGTATATAATCACTGTGTCACTATAAAGCATCAAAGGAACAGCTAGATTCAGCATCAGAAACTGTGTGCTCACCTGGAGCTTTGTACTTCCGGAAGTTGATGTTGGCCAAAACAAAATGGATTATAGTCGGACAGTCTTTCTCCGAAGAGGTATCCTTCGGTTTGAAAACATAGCACTCCTTCATGCCTTCTCGATCAAATACATTTGGGTCTATTTTTGGGAAAGGAAGCTTGTTCATTTTGGCCCATTTTTCAGCAAGCAAAATTTCCTGAAAAGATAACAAAGACTCAGGTGCATATAAGCATCCACTGCAAAGTGAGATTTTATGTAGAGAGACACAGGTCAAACTGGTTAGCAGAAGCAGTTTTACTAACTCACGCTTCTTTACGGCAGAGGGGCCGATGAAGTCAATCTTTGAACAGACGACCCAGTATGGCATACTGAGCACCTAATTCAGCCTGCCCAATCTTCACCACCTGCGATGATTCACAGGAAGGAAAGAGCTGGTCTGTCACATAAATCTTTGGGTGAATTTACAGAGCTGACAGCTAGGAAAAACCATCCGTAATTTTACTTGCAAACTGAGTATCAGTGCTATGGAAACCAATGAGAGTTAACAAACACCAATCCACGCATTGTTATGTTCAGAGTCACATCACAGCACAGACCGGCATTTGAAAACATGCTAAGTGAAGAAGTAAGTCTTCTTCAGGAAAACAGGCTCTTTTTCCTCGTGACAACTCAGTAAACAAAATAATTGGTAAATAATGACTCAAAAGCGTGTCATGAGGGTGTGTGAGAGGGAGGAGAGGGAAGGTCAACATCTTTAATCTTGGTTTTGAATGAAATAGGACCCTTCTTTGGGCGACTGTTTTGGATACGCAAAAGATTAAAAGATAGTGGGTGTAAAACGATAAAACAAGGGACTTCAGCTGGCTGATTTCCCTGTGTGTTGGAGTAATGAAAGTATATTAGAGTGCTGCCATAGATACAGGCCAACTCTTGAACTGGCATTTACTCTTTGTGATGCAAGCAGAACCAATGGGATTGCACAGCCAGTAAACAAAACTGGTTTCTGTCCTTTAGGCCACCAGCGTACAGCCTCTGCTTGTGGACTATACTTGTATTAGCTGGAGGGACGTCACTCTTTTTATTACACACAAATTTGCGCTTCGGAAATAATGAAGCATCCCTTTCAATGGTGGCTTCATGAAAACCTAAGGCACCATTTAATTTTCCCACCATCCTTTCTTGCGTAAAAGGGTTTTGCCTTTTTGAAATTAGAGTTTACAGAAAAACCTTCAGGACACCACTTGACTTCCAATCAATCTCTCGATGTTATGTTACGTTCCCCAAAACGGCATAGAAAATTGCAGCTGACAAAGACAGAAAGCTCAATGCATAGGCTAAGAGTAACAGAGACGACTACACACAGCCTTTTGCACAGACTCCACGTGCAGAACACAACACAGCCGGAGCAAAAAGATGATGTTTCAGAGGACATGGCAGTGCTGTGTCAGCAAATTCAGCTGACGGGGAAAATACTCAGTCAGGACAAAAAGGGAGAAAAATTCTTAAAGAAATAGAAAATTAAAGGAAGAAACAGACTGTGGGATTCAGTCAATTAAGGAAAAATGAAGGATCTCAGGACTAGCATGGGTCTTCTCAGTGCTCTACTCTTCCAGGTAGTCCCCAAGAGACCTAGAGATTACAGAAGTTACTCCTTTTTATTCTCCTGAAGCTTGGGGGGGGGCTGCATTTAACAACACTGATCTAGAGTTCATTTTGCTATTGCTGTTATTTTCTAATGTTGTTCTGGGGTTTTGTCCCTTATAGCAAGAGGAAGGAAAACAATACTCAGCCTGTTCTAATTGAAATTTCTCTGTAAAGCAACAAAGAATGTCAATTGTTTCTCAAACAGGCAAGTTTTCTTGGTTTCCTTAAAAATTATTTTTTAAAATCCACATGGGTTTCAAATAAATATTGCCTCTTTTTTGAGTACCTCACAACAGTCTCATAAGTGCTTGTCCTGGTTCCGGCTGGGACAGAG